GCTATATAAATAAATTTTACTTACTTACTTACTTTTACTTACCTTACAATATAAAGTGCCTCAAGGCAACTGTTGTTATAATTTGGCGCTGTACATATAAATTTGAATTGAATTGTATTGAGCACAAATGGCATTAATTATTCTCCAATCCTGCTGACTTAAAGAATATATATAAATATATAAATGAGATCAGCAGGTCAGCTGATCTGTGATTGCAGTGGAAAGAGATCCTAATATCACATCTTTAAGACACTGCAAGGTCACAGTTTTCCACGTCAGCGACTTTGAGAAGACACAGATCCTGTCCTCTGTGCATTTATCCTCCCTCTACCCTTGTTTGGCAGGCTGCCATCATCTTCCACTGCTTTTTTCATACGTCAACATCAACACTAATATATCCAATTGAGACTCAGCTGAACAAGCAACACAGGTAGAACAGAGTCCTGAATAAAACCAATGAGATAAGAGGACTTTTATTTGAATCGCTTTTGTTCTCTATGTTCTCCGAGAGAGCAGATGGAAGGAAAGAGCTCCTATTTAACCTGCCCCCCTTTCATGAGATGCTCACAGGACAGAGTGCTTGGAAACAGCACACTCCAATTACACTTGTGGACGCACTGCAATGCAGTCAGTGTGAAACCTCAGCAGGCTGGATGTAAGAGTGCATCGTGTTGTGAGTGTTGGAAAGCGTCAGACAGGAGAAACAGAGCGCTTTAGAGAAGAATTATGAAAACAGTGAAGACGTCCACAGGAAAAGTCTCTTAGGTTGACTCACCATATCAAGCGCTTTACATGGCAGACACTTGGCATTATGTGGGTCGTGAAGACAGTACCGTCCCTTTCCACAGTCATCGTCACTGATGCATCCCTAAATACGAGAGAGGCGAGACTACATCAGGCCACCTCGTTTTTCTAATTACATTTAAATATTAAATATGGGTCTGACAGCTGTAGCCAGAGAAACTCTCAACTGAATACACATTCACAACATAGTACAGTTGAAGGTGTTGAAGCACAAAACATACGGCATATTTATATTAATGCGGCACCTTCTCTGGTTCTATTTATTATTTAGACTGACACCTGACCTAGTTTTTCTGTTCTGTGTCTAACATCAAATCACCCAACAGATTTTGCCAAAATAAACGGTGAGACAGCGTGTAAATGTAGCAAGATGATAACCACATAAATGGAGATTCTTTTACTCATACAGGAAAAACTAGGTTGATATTTTGGACTGATGCTTTTGGTTGGATTGTGACACCCCGAGCCACGAAACTTGAGTTATCAGAAAGCTTCCCAACTGGACTTGACAGTTAATCACCATATGTCCAAAACTGCTTGGTTACATAACCTCACTTTGTGTTTGCAGCTTTAGTCCTAAAGCACATAATCATCACTTATTTAAATATGACGCCTAGTAGACCATTTGAGAATTGACATCTTTACCACTTATTTGTACACAGGAAAAGGGCTGAATGGAGACAAAAATACACTTTTGATTCGTTTGCTGACATAGTGCCAAGTCAGTGGCTGTGATGGTGCACCAAGACGTTATGCAACCTCTTCAGTGATGATAACTGAGCAGCTGAAGGTCATACAAAAGCTAGATTTCTTTTTGAACGTGCAGGTAAACAGGACGGGCTTACGTGATCGACTCTGTTCTCCAGGTCGTTAGAACTGTCGACTGTGGTAATGTTGTTTGTCTCCTGGGTGAAGATGAGACATACATTAAGTTTCAATCACAAGGGGAAACAAACAGTGCCTCACTTTACTTTACTGTTTCTTAGCCTACCTGGTCTTTATCAGTCACTTTATCAGAAGCATTTGCATTGTGAAGACTCGACTGAGAGTTCTCCTCATTTATCTGAAAGGATTTTGGAGAGGATCAAAGCCAGATTTCAGGTAAAAGATGCATAACTCTGATGTTACTTTATTGCTGCATCTGATCTTCTTTTCTGTCATGAGATTGAAGTGTTTAAAAAAATACTTTCATCATACAACCCACTGAGATCCTACATACTACAGGCAGTTAGGTAATGCTCTATGTCAAGTAAAAAGCTGAGTGAGAGGTGCAACTGGCTGCTTACTTGGTGAAACGAGTCCTCGGGCTTTTGCTGTGGATCCTCTGGCAGCTGCTCCACTTCCACAAACACATTGTCCGGCTCAGCTTGTCCCTGTGCAGAGTCATCCTCCAGGATGTGACTAATGCCCGGGTCCACTATCTCAGGGAGGATGCCATTGCAGACTGCTGTGACAGCCAAAACGAGCAGGATGGCTGGCACCATGCTGCTGCTGAGGATGCTGCTGCTGCACTCCGAGGAGGGTGTGGCTGTGATGCTGAGAAACACAAACAGCGTCACCACAGCTGATGTTTCCGTCACTGCAGGGTTTTTCCATCAAACCTTCACATTCATGACAGCCCCTTAACAGGTGAAATAACAATAGAAATGATACATACAATGAAAAATAAGCCGACTTGATAATGTGCGCATTGTTTTAATTGTGTGTTAACAACTTAACAGCGCACTTCAAACATAGTTCCGGCCAGGCTTAACCACTATTCGAAGTAGCCCAGGTAAACAGAGACGAGGTTTTTCTTCACTGCCGTTAAAAACAGAAATAAAATGAAAAAACACACATCAAACCTGACTTTTTTTAAACGCAGGTGTGCTTGCAGTTTTACACAGAAGCTGGTGATGTAAGCGGAAGTATACCTTAGCTGCTAAAACAGTTACGAGAAACTGTCATCATTGAGCCCTGTTCTCAAAAACGGACATTCACTCTGTGAAGCTGAGAAAGTTTTCAAAACATCTTTAGCGCCATCTTCTGTCGGTAGGGAACACGACATCATGTGGTTGATTGCGGCTAACGGACTAGCATTAGTTTATGTTAGCTAACTACTGACAGTATCGAGAACAAAGAGGAAAACGAGGACACTAAAACTAAAAATCAGTTTTGTGCTGCCCCTGGCTGCAACAATGAGTTTTACATTAAGAAACTCCACCAGGGCAGGGCAGCAGCCTAAGCAGACAAGTCCAGACCTCCCTCTCCCTAGCCACCTCCTCCAGCCTTTCCGGGTGAACACCAAGGTGTTCCCAGGCCAGCTGAGAGATATCATCTCTCCAGCGTGTCCTGGGTCTGCCCTGTGGGCATACCTGGAACACCTCACTCAGGAGGCATACCCGAACCTCCTCCACTGGCTTCTTTCAATATGGAGCAGCAGCGGCTCTACTCACGTCACTACCCACAGTCTTCACCACGACTGATCGGAACAGTGTCCGCATCACTGCAGGGGCAGCACCAATCCATCTGTCAATTTCCCGTACGTAAAATAAATAAATAAATAAAATAAAATAATCCCTGGACTGTCCTGCAATTGCACACATTTTTTGACAAAATTCACCTACTCACCTCATTGTATTGCCATCGACTTTAACATTTAACATGCTGATGCTTGAAGTGTCTGAGATGCAGCTTTTACATCTGCTACATCCTGAAAGTACACTTGTAGCTGTACCCAATGACAAGAGGATGATTATTTTTATTATTATTACACACTCCTAACACTAACTCTAACACAGGTTTCAAACCTATAGCCAAATAGGCTTTACAGTTAAAGTTATCCAAAGAAGCAGGCATGTTCAGCAAAGTTTGTTTGCCAATACATTTTTTATTGTTTGTTTAGGAAAATTTTTCTGTGCCAATTTGCCTATGTTTTGTGTTTTTTGAGTTGTGGGAGGAAAACCGCAGTACCCGGGAAAAACCTTTTTTCCTTTTCTTTTTTTCTCGGTTTCATCCTCACCTTACTTGGACCTGAGGAGCCAGAAATGTTTTTTCCTTTTTTGTAGTCTTCCACTTGTTTTGTTTTCTCCTGTTTCTGCATTTCTATTCTGCAGCCTTTGGTTCTTCAGCTCAAACTCTTGACATTTCTCCTGCAGTTGTTGTTTGGCTTCCATGTGTTTGTTTAGCTGATATTGCTTGTAGTCATTTTCTATTTCAGTTATCAAGTGGGCATCGTTCAGCTTTTCTTCAAGCTCTGCCACTTTCAGATGCATCTTTCTCTCCATTATTTCATATTTGTGCTCCAGCTGTTTAGGTTTTTTGTTTTTTCTCCAGCTGTGCATAGTGGCTTTTTATGTTTTCCAGTTCTTGAGGCTGCATAACGTTTTCCACCTCCATGTTCTCTTTCTTCAGTATTTGGTTTTCCTCCTCCAGATGTTTGTTTTTTCCCCTCAAGTTGCATTTCTGAATCGGCAAAGGTATCAACATGAAGGAAATTCCTTCTTTTGTTGAGGAGTCCATTGAGGCAACCCCTCAACATGTAAGTACTCTCTCGCAGTTTGCAGTTTTCCCTCAGAGATCTCGTTGGGATTATCCACAGTTATTTCTTGGGTGTCTGTGGTTATTGTTTCTTTGGGACGTGGCAGCAAACTAGAGGTTTTCCAGTCTGGTTTTACATCCTTACATAGCACTGAATCAGCCATTTAAAAAAATTTTAATGACAGATTTTTAGCTACTGATGCTGGCGACTGTCTTGTTCTTGTGCTTTTAGATTTGACAGCTGCGTTTGATACAGTGGATCGTGACATTTTACTCTCTCATTGGGAGCAGTCTGCGGGCATAAGAGGCACAACACTGGAGTGGTTCAGGCTCTACTTGGCAGAGTGAACATTTTATGTCAGTCTCTGTGACCATGGCTGTCTGCAGCCTTAAAGGCCGCATTTTAAGGCCGATTACGTCACAGCGACGCGACGAAGGCTGTCCCAATTCGAAGGCTGCTCGAAATGCGGCCCTCAAATCATCATTCATCATCATTTATTTATTTATATAGCACTTTAAAAACACACCTGGTAGACCAAAGTGCTGTACAATACTAATATGCGCATAGTAATAAAACCAGACATAGCAATAAAAGTAAAAAAAAAAAAAAAGCGTCCTTCATTTCCCTGAATTTTAAGGATGTGGCGGTGTAGACTTCGTGGCCCAACATATCCCAGAATGCGTAGCGCGGCGGTGGGTGTGGATAATTTTGCCGGAAAAAAACGGCGGATGAGGGGCGCCCGAAGAGTAAACTTTAAGTAAGTACTGAATATTATGTCACTTATTTATGTGCAAATGTTTAATAACGAAGAACATTAAAACATTACTGTTGGCCACATGCCAGCAAAGTTATGTGACATTAGTAACGTTTGTACTAACTTGGTTTTAAAGCCTTTACTTTAAAATATACGCAGTTCAATAGCTGACCTTAATCTTAGAATGATCAAAATGTAGAAACAAACAAACAAATGAACAAAAGATTTCCTCCTTCATTTCTGTCAAACAAAGCTGTATGAAACGTTTCCAGCTGTTAGTATCATGGTTGCTAGGCAACCTGGGCAGCGCGACGGAGGCTAGACCGTCCCATTTCACAAGCCTCGCACTTCCGGCCTTAGCGGTCTTTAAGTACGCGGCCCTTGTGGACCGTTAAGGCTGCGTACTTTAAGGCTGCAGACCCTGAATTGGGATACAGCCCATGTGTCGTCCTCCGCTCATCTCTTGTGCGGTGTCCCACAGGGCTCAGTTCTAGGGCCCCTCCTCCTTTCTTTATGTCTGCTCCCTCTTGGTTTTATATTGAGAAAACACAGCATTGCATTTCACTTTTATGCTGATGACTGTCAGATGGAGCCTATCCCAGCTGTCAAAGGGCGAGAGGCAGGGTACACCCTGGACAAGTTGCCAGTCTGTCGCTAAAACACAGAGACAGACAACCAGTCCCACTCACATTCACACCCGCATTTACACCTATGGGCAATTTACATTGATCAGTTAACCTGTCCCCACTAACTGGATGTCTTTGCATAAGCTAAATGCTTATGCAACCTGTTGCAAGAGCTTGGTCTGCACAGCTAGAAATAAGTCAGACTTGTGGGTCCGGTGGGTGTTGGACTCTGTCAAGGACAGGGACAAATTCCTGCCCCAAATAGAGGAGTTTAAGTATCTTGGGGTCTTGTTCACAAGTGACGGGAGAAGGGAGCAGGAGCTCGACAGATGGACTGATACAGCATCTGCATCACTGCAACCACTGTATCAGTCTGTCGTTGTGAAGAGACAGCTGAGAGTAAAAGACAAGCTCTCAATGTACCGGTCGGTCTACATCCTTAACCTCACCTGTGGTCATGATTTGTGGATAGTGACCAAAAGAATGAGATCACGGAAATAAGCGGCAGAAATGAGCTTTCTCTGAAAGGTGATGAGTTCGGCCATCCAGGAGGTGGGTGGGGAGAGGGAGGTCTGGGCTTCTCTGCTTAGGCTGTTTCCCCGCAAACCAGCTCGGCATAAGCAGATGGATGGATGGATGTACTTGTAAGCAATAAAAAAATACTTTTACATCATTTTATAGATTATATAATTTACATTTACTTCCATCTAGAAAGTCAGCATATATTTAATTTGTGTTTGTATTTGGTGGAATCAATGTAAAAACAAAAATTGAAAATAAAAATCTAATAAAATAATCATTATGTACATTAAAATGTAAAAAAATAAAGATGTGTCACACATTGGCCTTAAATCTTTCCATATGAC